AGCGGCTGCTGCCGTTGGAAATGCCAATCGAGGCACCACTGTCGTCGAGGTGCATGCCACCGCCTCGGGCGCCGCGGTGCACAGCAATAGCCACACACGACGCAGTCGTGACAATGTGGCTGCAGTGCGTCATTTCAACGATGAGCTGCCAGCACCGCCGGCTCCCGCTCATCAGTCGAGCAGCTATGCGGATGGTTTGCCCGGTCTGTCGGGTCCGCCGCTGGCGCCTTCGGTGCCACCACATCGTGCTGGTCACTCGCTGAACACCATGAAATCCTGGAGCATCGATTCGCAGTATCGCAAGAGATCGCCCAAACTGTTCGGCTATAGCAGCGGCAGCGGCATCACAACGCCCACTGGACTGGGTGCCATGCCGCCACTGCCACAGCCGCCCATGGGCACGATGGGCTCCTCCTGCGATGGCGGCTCCGTTGCCGGCACGGGCTCCTATCAGCGCCGATATATCAACTATGGCACCAAGCGCAGCCTGAAGCAATCGCCGCGCGAGGAACATCGCCTGCAAACCTCATGTAGTCTTCCCGAAACGCCCATATTCGCCAGAGGGTGAGCTTCTGCCCCTATTCAATCTTTTGCTGCATCCATAACTTAGTCCATCTATTTACCCAGCTGTGACATACCACGTACGCCATATCGACGCCAAAATGATCCCATTCCCGTCAGCGGATCCCGCACAGCGCCACGTTCCAGCACTTCGAACAGCATCAACATGGGCAACTCCATCTTGGGCATAGGCGGTAAGTGCTGCAGAGGATGCATTTAAGTGGGACTCTAATCGATTATCTGACCACATTCCTTTCCAGCTGGCAGCTATGGCACCGCCCAAATCTGTCGCCAGCGTTCCATCAATCACGCCTTAGCCTCCAATGAAATGCTGCGCATGACTGGCGCTCCCGCCCGCGGCTGGTATCCCAAGCAGCGCAGCATGCGGCCCGCCTCCACGGAGAACATTGATCGTTTGGCCTCGGTGCGCGTGTGGGACAATCCGGCGGGCATGTCCGGCACGGGTCAATCCCGCAAGCCGCTCACCCTGCCGCCCAATCTGACGCCTTCCTTTTTGAATAAGTCGCCGCGCGAGGCGCTGCGTCGCGTCACCAGCTTGCTAATCACCAAGAAGAGTAAGTGAGAACCTGATTCGTATCACTTCCCTACTCATTGGGTTTTACCCTTTGATCTTCTAGAGCACAACAAGGAGCGCAAGCACAAGGCTTACAGCGATCAGCCCATGGATGATAGCAATAGCAAGCATGCATATGAATTTGAAACAGGTAATTAAGCTAATTTCATTTTAAGGGAATTTTTTTACACATTCAAAACCAATCGCAACAAATCGCACTTAATTTTCGCCTTATAGAAGAAATTATCCCGAATATCTTCATAGGAAGAGAAAATGTATCCGAAAAGCTAGTGGGGCTTAAATTGAGTTAAATATTAATCAAAAAAAAAATAATTCAGTATTTCACTTATTTTTCACATACGCTAGTGGATTTTAGAAAATGTTGATATATATATTTTTAATAGAAAAAATTAAATACAACAAATTGCACTTATTTTCCACGATAAGAGCGGAACTGTCCTGATTAAACATGAGACTCAATAAAATTGGTTAAAAATTACCCAACTTTGTCCGTTTAAATTTGCCTTTTTTCTAAAATTCTATTCCAGTTTTTACTCGTTTATTCTCTTCATTCATAAATAAATTTCATAAATTTTACTAAAGCCCAAAGAACTTTTCTCTTGAGAAAACCATAATCTGTGCGCGTAAATTACGGACTATATTATCTAGCTTTGACTGGAAAATGTATATCTCTATTTTACACAAATAATGCAGGTTCCAATAGGACAGCACACTGAATAAATTGAATATTGAGTATTATATTAATAACTCTCTTGTTCTCTTCCCCTGAAGTAGGTTCCGCGAAGCGCAAGGAGACGAGCTGTCGCAGCAAGGACACTGCCGCCGCTGTTGTCGGTGCCACGCCCAAGGCCAAGAAGAAAGGTCTCTTCAAGACGCTGTGGAAACGCACGAAAACCACCTCGCTGGATCAATAGAGCAGCCAAAAAAAAAGTGGAAAAGGAAGGAAATAACCAAAAGTCAACTTGTTTCAGACGAAGCCAAAACACTGCCCCCCGTGTTTCCCCTCACTCCAAAAAATACTATGGATATATATACATATTTATATATATGTTTTTAAAGAACGTTGATAATAACCGCACCTACGTATACACTATGTAAAATGTAACGCTTAGGTATATGAAGTGGGCGTTGTTAAACGCTGGGTATACACTATTCCCTGCCCACGACCCCAGAGTCACCTGCTCATCCATCACACACACACACACCCACACACACACGCACACACACAAGTACGTTTGACTTACTCTCACGCTCGTTCGCTCACCTTGAAAATGTCACTCAATATGCAAGCAATTTATACACACACACACACACCTACATATATATATGAAGCTATCGTACATATATGTACAACTATATCGGTCATATAAAAATGCGAAAAACTGAATAATTCAAATATGCACAAAGCCGTGAATCGTAAAGACTGAAAAAAAAAAAGAAAAATTTAAATGAAATGATTAAAATGAAAAAAAAAAAAAAAAAAGGAAACCACTTCAAATCAATATTAAAAACAATTTTTGAACTTCAAAATGCCACAAAGCACAAACCAGACCAGCAGATGAACCAGTATTATCTATTAACATTTAAATGGGATCCTGAGTAGCCCGATCTTTGAACTTGCAACAATTCCATGGCCGTAATAAGACACAATAAAAAGCACGCAACGATGAGCAACAAATAAAAAAAAAACAAAAACAAAAAAACAAAACAATTTCAGAAAACATGAAAATGATAAAATTATTATACAAGCACTGAATTTATATATATAGTATATAAACTCTATATACATAGTTTGGAGTATAGCTGAACCGTTTAGGGTTCCAGGCAGCATTACTTACTTTATATATTATGATGTTTGATATACATGAAGCGACTTTTTTTGTAGCCTTCAATTAGATTTTGGCGCCGATTGCAAAATATTTGCCCAAGAACTTTCAAAAGATCTGAACAACATTTTTGGCTCTCTTCGCCAGCCAGCCTTGAGGTAGATTTACTGGCAAAAACTTGAGAGAAATATCTAACAATAAATTTGAATTCGTAATTTTGAGAGACTTGTATAGCCCGAAAAGCCCTCCAAATTCCAAAGAATGTTTCCATCATTTTGCATAGAATTCCAAAAAAAAGAAGAAGAAAAAAACAAAAAACGCATAATAAAAAAGTGAAAAACAAATGTTAGAAAGTAAAAGAACCCCTACAAATATGCTCAATAGAATTTTACCAGGCAGCATTTTGCTTTTTGTAATTCGGAAAATAGAAATCTGAGAAAACGAAAGATACGATTAACTGCAATAAGTAAAGAAACAAAACTGTAAACGTTTACTAGTCATTAAATATAAACGATAAAGAAATGGGGAAAAATGATATATATGAAAGATTATGTATTTTTTATTAACACACACACACACACACTGATTAGCCAAGTGGCCAAATAAAAATAAAACTAACAACGTTAAGTGTAATTGGCTGCTTTTTATGAAACAGGCGCCGCCCCCTCCCGCTCACAGAGACAGAGCCAGTTGAAAAGTATTATTAACGAATTATTATTATTATATTATGCTATAGCAAGTTGGTATTTATTTATATTTAATTATATTGTATGTACAATTATTTGTATTAATATTATTGAATATATTTTTTAGAAAAGTAGTGTGAAACTGCAAAAAGAAACTAACTGAAAAACAAAATAATAAAAGTACTTCAAAACAATTAAGTGAAACGTGCAAATGTCGCATTTGAAAACTTTTTACGAAGACAAAAAAAAAAAAACTATCGAATGAAATCTTATTAAAACCAAATTAAATATCAGACCCCAAGTTTCTAAAAAAAAAAACAAAAACAAAAAACGAGCTGAAGTACTTAAAATCGTTTTTAGAGTGGTTTTTCCCTATAGACTTTTAGACACATCCTAAATACGAGCAAACTTTCTAAAGCACCAACTAAACCAAGGCCCAAAAAAAAAAACAACTATATGTACAATCTACATTCTCGAACACACAGATTAACTGCTTGAACAAACCACATACGAAATTACAGAAAAAGAAAAACAAATAATAATGACAAATTACAATAACAATATGCATACACTCGCCCACACACACTCACACACACACACACACACACACACAAAACACACGCATATGTATGAAAGAGCTATGGAAAAAGTTTAGCACAGACAGAACAAAGCAAATAATATAATTTTTTAGCAAGAACAAATGAATTTTTAATATATATATATATATCTATATATATATGTATATGGATATAATTAAAATTTAACTTCTAATGAAATGAAATAAAACTAGCATTGAAAATTTTGAGAAATATGAAATAACAACGTGTTTTCATTGAGAGCGTGAAAATGATATGAAAAGTCTCAGCTACGTTAAACAACAAAAAGCAAATGTTGTTTAAAGAATGATTGTGTTAAATATTTAAATAATAACATACCGCAAAGTGGGGATACTATTTGAAATAGTTTATGTTCTTAGTTTCTAATGTAACGCATCAATTTAAAATCGTAAAGACAATTTTATTTAATTTTTCTTTTGTTGTTGTTGTTGTTTTTTTTTTTTTATTACACATTCGCTTGCAATTTGGTTTTAGTGCGTGTGTTCTGTGTGTGTGTGTGTGTGGGTGTGTATGTGTGAACCAGATAAATATACAATTCATAAAGAAAATTATACTATTGCCGCATTAAAAAATAAAACACACGCGCCAAAAGAAACTCGTTACAAAACTAAATAAACTAGCTAAAAGTATCAGTAATGCGCACATCTTATATACGCCTTTTGTTTTAGGATTAGTTAGGATCAAAAAAGAAAAAACACACAAAAACAAACAAATATTGATTGCATTACCTCAAGGACTTCAATTCAGAATTACTTTTGACATACTATCAAATAAGGTTTCAGTTATTGTTTATCAGAAGAGATATCATAGTTTTGGTTGTTGTAATGCGTGTCATGAATTTTTAAAATGTTTAACAAAATATGCCTTGGTACAATGTATTACAAGGTATTACAATTAATAGTGTGTGTATGGGTTTTTGCATTGTGAATTCAATTAGTGAAGGTTCTTTTGTTTATGCTTTGCTTTTTTCTTTTTGTAATAATCTCTAGTAGCTGTCCGAGCCGAGTTCGCAGTCTAAGCCATATAGCTATACTCGTCACCAGAGTTAGCCGTACGCTCAATATATTGTTTGTCAATTAACGATTCTACGCACTTTTTGATCATTGCGATATTGGGCGTAAAGCTAACTTTCGATAAGGATAGTACCTGTTGGTGTGAGGTATACAGTATGTAAGTTTGTATATAAGCTGATAATAAGTTGTTGACCTACCTCTTGTATCAGCGCATTGTGCTTTAACACTTTGCGCGCCTTCATAATTCGCACAATGGCAGCCTGCAGAAACAGTTTTCGATCCTCATCCACCGAGTTGATCGTGTGCTCCACCTGAAAGCCATATACATTAATTCATTATTTATAAGAAATGTGTTCTATCCACTTTTTTTGTTTTTGTACTCACCTCTTGTGGCGTTTCTTTTTGTAACGCCGAGCTTATCTTAAATTTCGTACGCTTATTTGTATAATCGAAATTCAATTCGATGCGCGTATCACCCGAGAGATTCTCTGAGCTGGCATTCAGCAATTTGGACTCAATCATCGGCTGCATATGCTTCTGATACGTTTCATCATTTAATTGCAGCGTGTTCTGTATCTCACGACAGCTGAGAGTGTCGCAGGTCTCGAAGAGCAAGATTATCGCCATTTGGTATGTCTGCATGGTCACAATGTACGATTTCTTTAGGTGACTCAGCTTCAATTCGCCATGGCACATGTGATGCAGCCAAGTAAGTTTACGGCCGCTAAATAAATTGTGATAATAGTCCTCAAACTGTGTTACGAAAATATTGATTAATTTAACTACAATTCTTGCAAATATCGATCAGATTAGATTTAGAAACGCACCATTTTGATAGACTTTTCGAATTCCTGGGGCACTGCAAATGGAATAACCTGTGTCGAGCCCAAGGGCCAAGCGCCCGCCTGCAGCACTTTAATCGACAGGTTTATGCCTGCAAAATAATATATATAAATGATTAATATAAATAAAACACAAATGTTTATACACTCTGAAAATCAATGTACAGTAAAGTATTCGTTCTTAACAGATTAAATCATTTTTTAATATTTACTGGAGACTTAATATATTCACCCCTAGGGCTTAAAGGTTTTATACTTAAAGTTTAAATTTAAAAGTATCTAGAACTTGTTGTTAGAAATGGGTTTTAGGTAAAGCTTAAAGTTTCGAATGGTAATACCTGCCAAAAAATATGTAAACTGAAGCTTTTCAAACCGGAGGTAAATTTGTAATCAACATTCAACTAATTTACAAAAAAACATTCTTTCTCAATTCTGTGTAAAACTGAAACGTTTCGCAATGGCTGGTGAATGGTAAAATTCAAAGTAGAATAGGATGAAAGAAAACTTGTTGACGGAAATAATATTTCAGTATAAAATAATACGATATTCTTCCGATTTAGGTGAAAGAAAACCCATCTTCACGCAAGATACGATACGATGCACAATACGAGCTTATTTTGTCTTTAAATAATGACTAAAAGTACATACCCAGATCAATGTCGTTGTCCTTTAAATGATTATTGAACTTATTGTTCAAATCTGTGGAGACTGAAATATCTGTGAACATGCGGTGCAATTTGTTGGTGAACTCATAGCCACAGGCTTGCTGTAATATATAAATATATACATTTAATATCATTGTATATAATTGATGCTGTTTTTAGTGCACACCTTTAGACGATTGATCATACCCTCCTCGGCATCCATGCTCTGGCTTTGTTCGTGTATAAGACGCTTAGCTAACAATCTACTGTAGAACTTTTGATACACATCCTTGTCCTCAATGTATTTGAATATGGTTATGTTATTTGTGAGTTTCTGATCGATTTCCGCTTCGCAGGTTTTCGATTTTTTTAACAGAGTATCACAGTATTTGGCCACGTATTCAGCGCTGCGACACGGCTGTCGTTCGCTGGGTCGTCGATTGATGACGCTGGCGCAGGCCTTGTCCAGCGCGCTGAGGAACAGCGAATCGTTTTCGAAGACATCGGCAATTAACTCTTGATACTTGTGATGCACCTTCAGCATATTCTCGACAAAAGCAATGTGTATATTCTCGCCCTTAAGCGCATAGACCGTTTCGAGGCCCTCGTTTTTAATGTGCTCGAGAAAGGTTTGTATCAGTTCAGCCTTTAGATTATCGGGTATGGGCTTTAGCACGATGTACATATTCCGCAAATCCTGCCGCCGCTCATCCGATACCATATCGCGGCACTCTGAATATATGAAGCCCAAACGATCGTTGATAAACTTCTCCTCGCATTGTTTGCGCAGCTTTGGCAATGAGCTCACATGGAGAAACTTTTGCGCTCGCTTGCTCTCATACTCCAGAATCTTTATAACCTCCTGCATGTACTGGGACACGCTGCAGCGTTGCAGCAGCTTGTTGGCCTCGTTTGTATAGTATGTGCCGCTTGCCTCTAGCATTGGCCCCTCAAAGAGCTCCTGATATAGCTTTAACGAGCCGGTCTTTTTATAATCCTGCACCTCCACAAAGCTGTGTATAACGCCATTGATAACCTGGACGCGATGCGAATCTAGGGTGCCATTGCTCGCCCGATCTGCAGCTATGCCCTCCAATATGTGACGCACCAGGTCCTGGGCCAAATACTCCACCATGTACAAACGCCAAATATCCAAGCCCAGCTCTCCGATTTCCATTTGCTCGGCGGCATCGCTAGACAGATTGCCATAAAATGATTCCGTATCGGTGATTTTTTGTTTCTTGATGTGCTGCTGGTTTAAGTAGCTGCAAAGGCAAAGCGATTCGTATATTTCAGAGAAAGAGAGCGAGTTTTAATCGGTGCAAACAGCCACTTACATGTAAAGTTGGTGAAGATACTTTATGCCCTGGCTATACTCCATCCAGGTGGTATAATATCGTTGCAACAAATCTGGCCTGCTGTTCGTGTTATTGGCATTGGCTGTATCATGATTGGCCAGAACTTTATTGGCCAGCATCTCCTTGACGTGAGATTCAAGGAATTGCTTTGTCTCGCTATATAGCCGATCGGCCATTGGTTCCGGCTGCGCCACGCACAGCGTATAAACATCGCTGTGTGCAAGTATAGAAGTGTGTGTGTGTGTGTGTGTGTGCGTTAGATGAGTTTTTATATTGAAAACATGTGAATATATGTAAAGGAAAATTTTGGTTTTTGGCAAATCATGCTGCGAGCACAGTGGAACACAATCAATTTGTATATTGAAATAATTGCAATTTTGGTACAATAAAGATTATATATAATTTAATTATCACGATAAGTTATTTTTAGCTTTAAACGTTTTTGAATACGACATCAATAGAATTTAATAATTGATATTTTGTGTTGTTGTTGGGCTTTATGTTTAATTCTCGTCTATTTGTTTTTTTTTTAATATTTTTGCTCCACTGTTAACGCTTTTAGATTTGTAAAAGTTTTAAGCACACGGTTCCACTGTGCAATGTACCACACGAATGACACTTTGCTTTGCTTCTTTTTTGTAGGTCAATATTACGGCTTTTTAGGGCTCCCTCTGGCGAATATCATTAGCTTTTCGTTCTACAAATTTCTCAAGGCTGTTCCACTGTGCAATACAAATATGAACATGAACAGCACTCACCTAAAGCTCGTGTTCCAGACGGCGCGTTCAACTTTGCTCAATGTTATCACCGATTCGGCAATGCAACGCAAGCGCGGCCAGACATCAACAAATTCCACTATTTTTGGCTTGAGCGACATCTCTGCTGGTGTGTGGGTGTGGGAGGATGTGGATTGTTTGCTTAACTGGGAAAGTTTGGACAGCGATTAGAAAATGACATTAAAAAAAGACGTCGCAACAAATCGCAAACACAAGCAGGGTGACAACTTGCATTTGCTTTAAACGCGCATTTTGTTATAAATAAAGTAAAAATTGCGTCGCCCCTCGTACGTTGCTGCCAGGCATAATCAGCAGGGCCCAGGCCAAAAAAAAATATGTGAGCAACAACGACAACGGCGACGACGACGACGTTGACGGCCTCGGCCTCGGGCAGCAGTAAATGCAGTTGGCCCCCAAAAGCGGCACTTGCAGTGGTGCAGCAACAGTGTGTGGAACACTTACGCGCTTCTTAATTACACTAGGTACTAATTATTTATGCGTAAAATTTAGTTTTTTTGCACTTTTTTTTACAATCCAAAATGAACTCTTATGTTACGGCGACAGAGTTGCCAGTCCATTTCGACAATTGACAGTGCTGCTATGCAACCCTGTAATGGCGCAGTACGGTAACACATATCATAGTGACAGAAGTCATCGCTGTCCGCATATCGAATATTAACATTATACATCTATCACATTACTCAAAGTCAGCTGTTGTTAACATCAGCTGTTAATGCGCGCGCAATTTAAGAGCTGTATATGTAAGCGCTCAAATATACAAAACAATTGCAAGTTTGTTTAATACATATTTATGTAGATTTATTTAGTTTCTTTTTATTTTCCCTATAATTCGCTAATTGTTTTTATTGTTATTTAAATTATATAAAAGTGCAATGTTAGATTTACAGTTAATAGCTTAAAACACAACACTTAAACTTTTACAAGTATTGTTTTTAATTTTGCTAGTTATTTTCAAATTTTAAATAAAAACATAATTTTAATGTTGGAAACAGCGGGTCAATCATCGTCATGCCTTTAACTTACACAATTTTCGTTGATTGTCATGCTTTAAGCCATTATTAAGGGATTTTCGGGAAGGCTAACAAAATGTATGAATACTTATAAACTTAATACTTATAAACTGGAATTGATGTTAGATTTTGTATATATTGATGCTAATCTGTTTTTGTATTTGTTTTTATTTTTGTTGCTTTGCTATGTAAGTTCGTTTGTAGTTTGTATCTTTACTAATTCGTTGAAGTTCTCTAGTAAACACGCGACGTTCTAGATAAGCTAATGTGTATGTAGAACTATATATAAATATGCATATGTTTGTATTTATGTTTCTATGTTAACGTAAGAGAAGTCTATGTTCAGTTTTTGTAATATTCATGCCGATTTCGTCAAATCATTTGCCCTTCTTTGGTTGCCTACTATTGCTATATTAACTATACGATTATAATTATTTAGCATAAGTATAGTACATACATTTTAACTGTTTTTGGACTTGCTTGTGGGTTGCATTTTGTGTGGTGGGATACGGATTCTCAATTTAAATGTATTATTATGTAAATATCTCGACTTAGTCTACATATTTGCATAATGCATGTTTGCGTTTGTATTTGTTGTTAATTCATTTATAGTTAGGTTTAAGCGCATTTTGTATGCAAAATCTGTTCACATTGAGATTTACTTGTTTTGTTGACTTATTTTTTTTTTTTTTGTTGCGAAATTGATGCAAGTAGTATATATATGACTATTTTTAAATTCCTAAGATTAATTATAAATTGATGTTAAGATTCTTTGTTTTCAACTACACATCGACTAATGTTATTAAGCAAATAATTTGTTATGTTACAGTTGTTAATATAATTTAAATTGAATAACAATTTGTTTGAAACAAAACCGCTCACAATAATTCAAATACTTAGTTTAGTTATAAATTTTTAGGTACACAGTTTACAAACTTTTCAAAAGCAAATACCAGTTATAAATATACAACTAAAGAGTACGATTTTTCTTTAAATGTTTCCTTTTTTTTCCTTTTTTTTGGGTACTTCACATAGCAGAATATCACACGAATATAGGCAAACCAAATGTAGTAGTAGTAAGTATAACAGTAGTATAACAGTTAACTTTATGTTCACGCTCATGATCACACACATACACACTCACTCAAGCACACACACACGCACACACATCAATATGTCTCGTAGAAAATGCAATCGTTTTACTCCAACAACGATTGAGATTCGGCCAAGGTTCCATTGCCCAAACACGTTTCCGGATTGGTTTCCGTTGCTGCATCCTGTGCCTTGAGCTTTAGCAGCGGCGTCTTAATATCCGCCTCCAGCTCTGCGCTGCAGTCCAGACTAAGTGGCGCGGCCGCTGGCACTGCCTCCGGCTCATGCAGCTCTACGGCCGCCTTGGGCTCCGCTGCACTGCTCTCAGATTTGCCCTGCAGATGGCAGATGATTGTGGAAAGAGTATTTATAGAAGATCTTGGTGCACCCACCTGCAAATAGTAGGTCATCAGCTGACCCTTGCCCTTGACTGCCACCAGGCCGCGCTGCTGAAACGTATAACCGAATTGCTCCAGGATATTGCAGGTCTCCTCGGTTACCTGAATGGCGCCCGCTTTGCCGGTGCTCTCCATGCGCGAGGCCACATTCACCGTATTGCCCCAGATATCGTAGTGCGGCTTCCGAGCGCCAATCACACCAGCCGTAATGGGTCCATGATTGATGCCCATTTTAAGCACGAAATGATTGAACGACTGCTCGTTGATGCCGTGCAGCGCATGCTTGAGCTCCAGCGCAAACTCCACTAGCAGAGCCAGATGGGACCAGCGTTCGGTAATGGGAGCATCATTACGGAGATTTCGCTGCAAATTGATGCCACTGGCGGCCATGTAAGTCGAACCAATAGTCTTGATTTTAATGATGTCTTGAAACTGGGGCAGCTCCAGCAGCTGAATAATAAACGAGTTGACATCAATATAAAGTGGGATTATAAAGAACAAGAGTCCAGACTCACCGCGTCGAAATCAGAGATGACCTCATTCAGAAAACGCAGGCACTCCAGGCCCTGATTGTTAACTGTTTCCTCCGAGTAGAAATCTTTCAAGTATAATAAGCCTATTAAGCCTTATGATAACAAGGATATTCGAAATGTTGGCTACCTGAAAAGTTGGGCATGCTGGCGAACAGCACACCCACCTCGGCATAGCTTTGGGAGTAGAGATCATCATGGGAACGCTTGGCGTTCTTCATAAAGTGCTCGGCCACATGCACGGGCAGCACATTGTAGACCAAAGCCTCATTACGCTGACGCATATCGTTGGCGGTTTCCTTTTGCTCGGCCACCTCGGTTTTCCATTTGAATATAACACGATCCTCGTGGTCCATCTGGTTTGAAAATGAAGCAAGAATCAAATAGTTATATTAATATAGACATATAAATAATTAAAATATTTAGTTATTAAATGTCAATTAAAAAATTATGTGTCTATCGTTTGAGCCTTAATTAATTTGTAAACTGGGAACAGAACATTGGGTACAGAAAATTGTGAACAATGCTCTGGGAATAGACTGTTCCTAGTATGAAGAGTGGACGCTCTGGCCAGCCAGATATTTTATTGTTTAATGATAATTCAAGTTTATTTTTAAACCCTATTTAACATTTGGAAGGTGGAATTATCAGATTTTGAGTGTTCAGAAAATAGAGTATTATTTATAGTTAATTGTACTCACATGCCGGGCGAGAAAACTGAGAGACAATGCGGCGACCAGAAGCAGACCCGAGGCACAATAGCGTGTTGATATGAGCCTGAAAGTGCAATCAGTGAAAACAAATAGGTATAAGCATACAAATGAAAATATTGTCTATATAGCTTTAATTGTCTTCATACTCGCTGGCTCTTCTTAACTTACGGCTGATGTGCCAGATCGTCTTCCAGAGCGTACAAGTCCTGCATGATGCACACATTGAAATAGCAATGCAGAGCTGAAAGTATAGTTTACAGATTTCAAGCAAATCAATCACATGATTGCCATTATTTCTATGCGAAAAACTTACCCGCAATGGACAACAGCAGAAGAATCTTGGTTAAATGCGTGAGCTGAGCAATCACAGCAATTGCAATGAGTATGAGGACACTGAAGTTGCTCAAATAGGACGGATATAGGACACGTTCGGTGGGCACCGCCTCGCGCATTTGCTCCACAAACGATTCGGGCAGCAGGTGCTCGGCGGTGACAACCTCCTCCAAGCCGGCCGTGGCATTGAATTCGCTCTCGCTGACAATGTGCTCGGTGCGCACGAAGGTAACGAAGAAGAACTGCACCGGGAAAAAATAACAAATTGGAGTGCTCTAGTCGATAGTTGCCCGACTAGCAGATACCCTATACCCAGCCGATGCTTATAATATTGATATATTTTGAATGCTTAAATGAATGTTTAAATGTCTGTGAAAAAAAGGGAATCACATATTTATAAAGACGGACAATCATCGCCTAACGAACTGAACTTGTGCAAATCAAGAGTATATAAACATTTTAGATTTGGAGTTGCCTTTCTCTAACCGAAACACACACTTGCACAAACTGCAATATACCCTATTAAAAGCCAGCCATTTGCAATGGGTAGAGGGCATAAAAATCAATAAGGACTTGAGCAAGAGCATACACGAGTCGAACCGCATACTAACCATGTCGATGACATTGCTGAGGCCAATGGTAAGTGCTATAATTATGGCTGCCAGCTCGCGCACGAAGGTAATGTCATTGAAGCGCTTGCTCACATCCACAAAGAACTTGGGCAGCATGCCACTAAAGCTTTCCGCAATGCTTATGGCCACCAGCATGGCAATGGGCACCAGCGGTGCGGCAATGTTAATGAAATGCAGCGTGGAGCGCGGCAACACCAGATAGGAGTACAGCACATCGATGCACTGCACCAACAAAGCGGCCAGCAAGGGCAGCGAACTATACGGTTCCCGATAGACGGCATAGGCCTGCTCCAGCTGCAGATTCTTGAAGCGCAAGAAGATGTTCGTGTCCTTAGTCAGGTTTCTGTGTGTTGCAACGAATCAGTTTAATTGCCAATGAATATTAATTAGTTCATTTAGTTACTTACTCATGTCCATCTCGCGTTACGAGCTCATCTTTTAGACGCTGCTTAAAGTTCTCGAGCTTGATTTGTTCTTCCTCATCTTCAGCCGCTGTTGGGCTGTGTCCATTGAGTACAACACTCTGCGCCAATAGCTCCTCGTCATCCACTGTGGCATCATTGTCATCGTCGACATTTTCGTTGCTATCGTTGCTGCTGGCATTAGAATCCGGACTATGATTGCCATTTTCTGCTTTGGTTTCGTGGATTTTCTTGGCGCAAGGCGAGGCGAACTGAGGGTTTAAACAAGGATTAGCTTTGGACTTAATAAATCAGGTTAAGCTGGGCATGGAAAGCTTAGTCTGAGACTCACCGGCTTAACCACTTTGGTAATGAAATAGGTCTTCAGACCAGCAATGCGCAGCAACTCTTCGCGCTTCTCACCAAAGGCCGGTTCCACCTCGAACTCGCCATTGAGAAAGGCCAAAGTCT